TGGCAACCGCCTCTTGTATCTTCCAAGAAGGGCGCCAGCGTTTGCCGTAATATCGATGCAGTGGCCCAGATGTTCAGTGATCTACCATGGACTTATTATCGTTACCAAGCGGACACTGGGGTCACCAACTGTTCTAGAAGCAGGCTGCCCATGGCGCCGCTCCAAGCCAATTTTTGCAACCGGCACAATTCTGACGCCAGTCGCCATCCTCACAACATTATGATCCGAGAAGAAACTGGACTCAGTCAAAAGAAGTGTGACATGGAGAGGGATCTGTCGCATCACGCACCCTGCGTGGTGCTGCAACTCTCATATATATACTCACTGCAATCTGTTGAATGGCAATGACGTCATTGACGTCATGACATCATGTGTCGACACATGCAGCACCGATGCAGCAATCGACGTGTACAAAAGTAAATCCCCTTTTGTCGGCTTCAATGCCATTGAAAAGTAGAAAATGCACATTTCGCGAATTCACGGCAACTATTCAGAAAGAGTTGCACGGATTAATAGTCACACGGCTTAGTATATCACGCTGGCAGTGTACCGTGACCAAAGGAGGCGACGTTGCCACGATATTCTTGAGACTGCGTCGATTGGTGTGAGCATCGCTCACCGGATTGTGGGCGCACACACACCCAGCAGTGCAGCCCCCAACACCTGGGCTGGGAAGAGCACGAGCGCTGGAAGGGCGACGGCGACAGTCGCCAGCACCAGGAATGGGGAGACCACGAGCGCTGTAAGGGCGACGACGAAAAAGGCGAGAACAGATGTCACTGCCCAGGCTGTGCGCAGGCCCCGGATTGCTGACAGATTAGTTGGCACACGGGTGATGGCTGTGGCCCTTTGAGCCGAGACGGGCGTGCCCACTTCTACCAGCAATGGCCCTGCGCAGATCACACGCAATTTTGTTTCGAGCTGGTCATTTGAATCTAATTCTGACACAAAAGAAGTCTTCCTGCAAGCACACATAGAGAGCTAGCGCCGCCCTGGGTGTACTGTACTCCAATCCCCTTTCCGACCAAGGATTGTCTGACATGTGCCGGATATGATGGTCATGAACGGGTCATGGAGGGCAAGAGGGCCCTAAAGTACTAAAACCCTAGAAACACTAAAAACCCCTAAATGACCTCCATGACCTTCATGCCTGGAAATGAAGGGCATCAGACATTTTTGTCTCAACCCCGCAGCTGGTCGCAAAAGGCCCTCAACGCCTCTCGCAAATGGCAGCCGACATCCACGGCAATGTCGAGCGAAGGCTCCCTGGGGAAACGGCCCGCGACGGAAGGTCCCTGCGACGCGCACTTGCGGGTGCAATTGGCCACGGCCCCATTCGACGGACGGCCAGGCACCGCAGCGAGGCGACGTAAGACAAGGGACGGGCGGCCATGTGGCAGATGCGTCGCGCAGGGGACGCGGCTGGGGGACAACCACTCCAGTGCCCCAACGGTGCCGACAGGCCCCTCCCCACCCCTCCCCCGGTCTTTGGCATCTGGGGCCACCGGCTACCAAGGCTGCCAAACGGATGCCGATGGGTGCCTCTCGAGGAGGGCCGACGCCGACGCCATTCTGCCGACGTCGGCCGCATTCTCGACCCGTGTTCCGCCCGCGCACGTGCGTCCGGCGGGCGTGGGTCCAAGCCGGTGAAAATGTCGCGACCGCGGGCAGGCAGCGATCGACAACAACGATTCGACGATTCGACAGCGAAACATCGACGATTCGATTGGCGAAACTGGCGACACGGCGATGCCAGAAGGGGAAGCCGCTTTCCGACGAGGCTGACCGAACGGTGCACTGGACAGGTCTTCTGGGCCTAGAGGCCGTCGCTGCGATCACTATGTTGCCGTCTCCGTGCTGGTCGCTCCCAAGTTGGAGATGCCGCCCGTTCTTTTAAAGGGGCGGGCATCGGCGCGGCGAGGTGCGCCGATCGGCTTGTTGCCAGGCATGGCGCCGCGGGAAGATGCCCGGCGGCCCGCTAACCCAACGCGTTTCTGCAACGGCGGAGACCGGGAAGCCGGGGCGGATAGGAAACCGCGGGGAGGGGGTCCCTCGAATGGGAGGAGAATGGAACAAAGCCTTACCTGCTGTTGGGATGCCTCCCTCTGCCCGGCTGTCGCCATCCATCGAACCTTCGCCAGTGGCGCCTCCGACGGCGCTGGCTGAAGACACTGCGCTGAAGTGTCCGCGCCGCGGGGCAGAAAAAGGCCGAGGAAGGGGGAGAGCGTCCGTGGCGCAACTGGCGGATTCGTGTGCGCTGATGGCCTTCGCGAGCTGTTTCGCATCCATGGCGATCCACGTGGCGGCACGTGGTGTCCTACAGCACATGGTGTCGTGCGTGCCGTGGGCAGCAGCCGGTCAGGTTAATCTGGGAACGTTCCCAGCTTACCCCATAACTGCCTGCCCTGTGGCGCGGCGCACCGCTGCTGATCTCCAGTGTTCAGTGCCCGGTGGTTAAGGGCGGATTTAGACCGAAGTCTGAATTCAATAGTGTCGAAAAGGTCAGACAACTAATATTCGAAAACTGGGACAGCGCGCTCAACTGTGCATAGCCTGCTCCTTGGACTGTGAATGGCGGCTGTCGGGCAAACGAGATCTGGCTGCCAAGCTCCTTTCAACAAAACGAATGGATCAAGATGCAACCGGCGGGCCAAGGTGGTTTCTCGTCCCAAAACATATATACATATTCAGGAAATGACATGAATATTGGTTTAAGGGCACATTCATCCATCAGGATCCCTACCAGAGGAGTCATAAATTCTCCCAGGCGACCAGGAGCGGCAATTCAACAATAATAAGCGATCGGCTCCAAGTTTTGGGGGCACCTGGGAACTCATCCTTTGTCCTCCACGGACAGCAATGCCTCACGAACCGTTAAATGCACCTGCCGCACTGATTCCTAAGCCTTGTGTCATATCAATGTGCTGTCATTTCCAACAAAGTGTGTTCAGCCACTTAAGCCAAAGTCACGACAGGCATGCATTTTGGACCTTTCCTTGGGTCAACCAGCCTGGGAACAGCCAGCTTGCCTACATCACTGTCGTCCACTTCCCTCTCAACAACATTCGAAAACAGCATTGTTGTGATCTAACAGCGATGTCATCTGACCATCATTGATCCCATCCGATCTGCTTTATGCTATAACAATCGCTATGATGCCGCCACTTAGTATGGGACTGGTATCGTGGCGGACATCACCCAAACCGTGCATTTTGCCAGTGCAGTCGTAGCCACCATATTTTCCCACAATCATTGCCAGTGTTGCAGACAAATGGCACCGGCAGAAAGAAACGCCATTTGGGACATAGCCATATATAGCATAGATGCCAGCTGCGGTGCCATTCGACGCCAATTGAGTTGCTTTTGATGCGGTCGCAATCACTGCGATCATGCCATCACGACATCTTTCGGTCAAATGGCATCGCGATGGGCGCTGCCCAAACGGCGTCTCCTGCCGGTGCTGATTGCCCTTGGCCTTACAGCCGTAAGCGTATGGGACTGGCATTCCTATTCCCAACTTCGAAGTTGGGAAAAGCCTCTCTCGCAAATGCGGTCTGGGAGCCGTGGGCCGCTCGAGGTACTTGGGTTTTGAGGAGCGTGTGGCGATTTTGGACAACAGGTGGTCATCTACCTTTAAAAAGGGTGCAGGTTTTAGGTTTTAGGTTTTAAGGTTTTGAGAAGAATTGGCGATTTTGGACAACATGAGATCATCTACCTTCAAAAAGGGTGCAGGGTGGGGAATTTCCAATTAAGGCGACAGCCAATGCGGCAGCGATCGCGTCAAGTTGAAAAACGGACATTCAAAGGACGGCAGGCGATTGGGGCAGACTTACCCATGCAACAGTTAGAAGTCAATTGACGTCGAGCACAGCAAAATCAACATTGCATCACCCATGCCAAAGTACGCGCAGCGCAATTCTAGGAGTTGCAAATGCCTGAGCGGAGCAAAGCTTCACACATGTGTCCAGTTTAGCGACCAAATCCCAGTGCTTGAAGGCATAGCTTCGGTGAGGGATTACCTAATATATTCTGATCAATGGGATTTAGGCTTAATGGGATTTTTTCGTTATATTCCGGGGAAGATGCCATGACCAGAGCCCTTCCAGGTCGCCTTTTCCGGGTCCCGGAAAATGTCAAGGACATTACTGGGGAGTTGGCGAGCATCCCCAAGGCCATTGCGGCGCGGACATTTCGTTGGGCAGAGCTGCGAAGACAGGCCCAAAGCGGAAGGAGTTCTGCTTCCTTTCCAAAGGACATTATCAAGAACAATACCTACGCATGCAGCAAAACCCGATATGTTGCGTCCCTAATGCCCTGATGAATTTCCCAAGTGGCACTCCTGCTCCGTCCCATCTTCCAGAACAAAAGCAAACCTCAAGGATGCTCACAACGTAGCCCAAAGTAAGCTGAGTCCCTCTCGAATGACCAGCGGACCAATGCGCTGCATCCCGGCGAGCACAGTTTCGGCACCTCGAAGGCGGTGGGGAGACGGCGCTGTCTTCTTGTCTGCTGCATTTCTGGCTGCTGCCCTTTATGCTGTCTTGTTCCGCTGCTTTTTGAACGCTCCGTGGGCAGGCGAAGTCAGAAACAACTGGCCGGCAAGCCAAGCTGTTTCTGTTGCTGTTTCTGTTGCTGTTTCCGTTGCTGTGTCTGTTTCTGCTGCTCTAGTAGTTGTATGCATCGCATCCGCAGTTGCAGGCACAATCTCCCAACCGAATTACTCTCACAGGCACACCTGGAAAGGTTCCTGACGTGAACACAACAAGTCCGAATCCCATTCATGCATGGAGCGGCGCAAATTGGCCAACCGAAAAAAGAAAATGCGTCCCAGCGCTTTGCAAACCAACACAAGTTCCTCTTTCCAGCTGCTGAACAGAGACTTCACTTTTGTTCAGGGGAAGTCGCACAACCAAGGAATATGATGTACCACTCCTTGTGCCATCTTTTTTCAACAAAGTTGCGAAGCTCAGGAATACCCTACACCCCTCCGCCTCCCTTTCCTATGGGGTCACGCACTCCATGTCTTCTATCACGGCCTTCATATCCCTCAGCAGGCTGCCCTCCAAATATATCGACACCGGCTTACGCGCGATCCTACCCTCGGACAGCCCCGATAATATCGCGCTCACCACCGCCACAATGTTGCGTTCCCCGCCGTCTGGAGAGTACGTCCACATGGCAGAGCCCGAGCTGCCACTGGCGATCTCGCAGGTGTGGTTCACAAACCCGCCGCCGGAAACAGCGTCGCAGAAATCGAACCACATCTCGCCCTCGCCCTCGTCGCCCGGGTAGCCCGCGCTGTTGAGCTGGAGGTCTGAGGGCAGGCCATCAGCGCCGAAGCCGAAGAACCTGGGAACAGGAATTGAGGGCTTTTGAGCAATGAACGAATGAATGGATATATGCATCCTTGAAATACGACTCGTCGACCATGTCGCATGAGATGCGTCATGGCCAGCATGTTGCAGTACCATGCTCCCTTCAAGTCATGCTCTCTCTACTCAACCAAAATCGTTGGACAGCGACGGTATCGGCTTTTGAGCAACAACACCGCAAAAGCACCTCTGGTCGCGCTCCTGGTCACGCACCTCTCGTTACACTTCTGGTTGCTGCTGTGCAGCTCAAGAATGGCGGCGTGCAGAACTTTCTGAGAACGTTCGCTTTGTAAACAACCAGGCGAATAAACTACCAGCAAAAGGTGATCATGCGAAGCTGTGCAGGGATGACACATCTTTACGAGACATCATGTTGGTTACGTGCAGATGCGGCATCGTGAAGGGACATTGTGCGCAGAGATGGCACTGCGATTGGACGTCGTGATGTGACACTGTGGGCGGATACAGCATTGGCACGGGATCATGATGTGACCTGATGGGCCGCGACGGCGTGATGGGACATCATGAAGCGACGTTGCGTGCGATTGCGTGGAGTGGACCGAGTTGACAGAAGCGTCGAATGTGGGTGGATGACCCACCCTGAAGTTGTGGCCATGCTTTACTTGGATGATCGTGGCTTCTCGGCTCAAAGCGGTTCAAATCAGTGGCATCAATGCAACACATGCATGTGCAAGCAGATGAAGAAATCGCGAGTGGTCGAATGAATGCACAGCCAGTTAATTAAAAATTTAATTGTACAACAAATTTTAATAAATATTTATTTCAATGTATTTAATTATCATTTATATTAACTTTCATTCATAATTAGTAATTATTAGAATTACACGATTGAAATTTCGAAACCCTTTGAAAAAATTGAAATTCTGGGCATGCACATCCAGGGCGTGACTGCATCCATTGCAAGCACGCGACTCAGAACAATTTTACAGCAAATGACTCCGTGGATTTTGACGCCGTACTTTTGAACCTGTGAAAAATCACCGATACGTAGTGAGCGCCAATGACCTGAAATTTCCAAAAAGCCCATCGATATCTGGCCGGGATCAGCGGTTCACGAACACCAGTCAATGAGCTGAACATTAGAACCGTGCTGCTGCATGTGTTTTGCGCATTCCATTAGTTATGATACAATAAAACTTGATCTTAGTGTTCTTATTAGTTTACTGATGGTGTTCAGTTAATGGAAGGAGTTCATGGGACTTCCAACAAACATCGATGGAGCATTTCTGCGCCTGCCATTGCCTGCAACTTGCAAGCGTTTCGTTTGCCAAACATTCAGAAAGCACAACCAATGCCAAATTTGAGGTGCATCTCAAACCAAGTACCATGTGGCCAGTACTCGTGAAATATTGCACCAAAAATTAATGTTTGGACGACATGACCAGGCGCAATTCACAGTAGCAACACGCCATTTAGCAAAACACCACCCACCCATTCCAAATATTCAATCAAATCACAGCAACACAAATTAATTGAATTTTGTATACTAAACTGACCGCATGATAAAGCCAATGGTCTGCCGGCGCGCTGTCCCACTGGCCCTGTTTCCGTACATAAAATGCACTTGCAAGAACATGAGCATTAATCTAAAACAAGTCGCATCAGATGGTCAAACGTTAGCCTGTGTGTGCCCTCCACTCACTTCGCGTCCTCCCCAGGAGTTCCTTGCACATGAACGATTGCCACATCGCTGGTGTAGTTGTTGAACAGCGTCCATTTGATGGACGGATATATCTGTGACACAGGTGAACAGCTGGTTGTCGTCACAGAGCAAGGGCTTGACGAATAAACGCTGTTACACAAACGAGATAATGTACTTTTTACAGGTCAATGCAATGTACAATGTACTGTAGGCAAAATAGTGTGGTACGTTTAGCAAATGGTGTTTCGCCGTGTACATTAAATCGAATGAGTAAAAAGAAACTGTTTATGCATGGAAGCATGTGAACATAAAAAGCGTGCATACTGCCAGACAACATCGCCAATTGAACATTCAAGGGACTCGGCCTCTTTTAGTCATTTCCCAAATTTCAATGAAGAGCAATAGATGGACGAATAGAGCCATAGGTACATAAGCAACCACATAATCCGATATCGCTTGTTTAGCAAGCAAATTCAAAAGTTAAACCAAAACAAAGGTAATTTTTGCCGCCACGTCCATATTGTGCAAACGGGTGAAGCGCGGAAAAGTGGGCACGACTAGAAACTTACCCAGCAATCCACCGTGGATGCGCTGGTCATCGTTTCCAAGGTTCAGACGCCTGAATTGACCATTCAATTGTTCCATTCCCTTCCAAATCATTATTTGCCACTTGATAACCAACAATCAACCATACAATAAACCACACATTCAATCATACATACAATGCATTCAAATCATTTAGTAAATTTAATTAAACACATTGAATCATACATTCAGCACAGGTTGCACCAAAGAGGCAGCAGTACTTATCGCACCTGCAGCGCCTGGAATTGTCCCAACGGCTGCCTCTGCTCCTCACCATTGCGCCCCGGGTTGAAATTGGCACCTGAGGACACCTGCAGGCCATCTGGATCCCAAACACAGTGGCCGGCCGTCAAGTAGTGGCATGGACCCACCAGCGCCCCGGAGCAAAACCGACCCACCTGAACCACAGAAGAGGGCATTCAACATTGACACACATAAACTATTAACAATGTTTTTTCAGTACGTGATCAAGGCTTGATGCTTTGTACTACTTGGCTGCCACACATCTTCAAGACGTGCCCTTGCTTGCAACTAAGATTGGCAGGGCACCAATCAATTGGCCCCCAAGTCCAACCCTTGTCACTTCAGCCATCCCTATCGTTAACTGGCATGAAAGTGCCGTTTTACGCTTCTGACAGGTTGCAGTGCGATTGCTGAAACGCTGTTCGCCAGACTGCCCCTGACCAATTCCACAGGGCGGCAAGCTCAACAGCACAAATGACAAGAGACGGCCATTCTGCACTTTCTGTGCTTCTGACAGTGACATTGAAGACGCTGCCAGATGTCTATGTTGTGGATTATGGCATTGCTTCCAAAATGTCACTTTGCCATATTGTCATCCACCCACTGATCCTTGGTTCAGTTCATGATAGCAAGCCCAACGATACAAACGTCCTGAAGGCACCATTGCACGCTTTCTGTGCTTTTGATGATGTTGTTACAGATGCTCTCAGACAGCTGATTACGATGTTGCCGAAACGTCGTTCTACCAAGTTTTCACTCACCCACTGACCCTGGGTTCTGTTCATCATGGCAGCATGCTTAATGGGTGAAATGGCATAAGTCCCCGTTCCGCTCTTTCCATGCTTCCGATGATGACGGCGAGGATGGCCCCCGATGCACCCAGATGACTACAATGTGCTCGCCCAAACATCACTGTGCCAAATTGTCACCGACCCACTGACCCATGGTTCAGGTCATAGTGATGGCAGGTTCAATGTGGCGAACGTCTTCAATGGTGTGACGGATTCGACCATTCCGCACTTTCTGCGCTACTGATGTTGACGACAACGACTCTCACAGATGCCCTAAGATGGCGGGCCACTATCATCAGTCATTTTTGCAGAATAAGGCGAGAAGGACGCGATGAAGCGATGACTCTGACGGCGGGCCACGACCTGCTCCACAAACGCCCAGCGGCACCACGGCAAGTTTATGCACGGGCAGTTTCTAACCACACACTTCGGGCGTGCATCCTTGTACATGCGTGCACATCACGGCAAGTACGAGTTACACAGGCGGCAAGTTTGACGGCGCAAGTGACGCACGGCGCGACCATTCCGCACTTTCCATGCTCATGACGGTGGCGTCAGGGATGCCACCAGATGCTCCACGCATCACGGCACGCTTTGCCCATAATGCCAAATGTTCACCCCCCCATTCATTCGGGACGCACCTGCCCGATCCATGCGAAGGGTTCCTCCACGGAGCTGTCCGCTGGCACGCGCACCCGCCCCCTCGACGTCGCCGGCAGCCCCGGCTCCTCCCCAAACGCCCCGCCGCCCTGCATCACCCGCCGCCGCCCCACCCCGTTGACCAAGCCATCACCCCCGTTGACCGCGCTGACCGGGTCAACGACCCCGTCGGCGGCGTCGACCTCCCCGACCCCCGGGTCGGCATCAAACCCCAACAGACCCCCCGGCCCTCTCGACGCCGCCAATCTCCGCCGCAGGGCCCAATCTTTGGGCGCCGATTTCCGTCGATCTCCTTTTCTCCCGGCCCCCGACCTCGCCGTGCCTGCCTCGGGGGCGCCCCTGCCCCGCCTCACGCACATCGTTCCGTCGGCCAGAATCGTGACCGCGGATCCGCCGGCCTCATCACGGAGGGCCCCGGCCCTCGCCAGCCACGCATCCCGCATCTCCTCTCCCCCGCCCATCGGCCATGAGCTCCGCTCGCCGCCCGCCTTCGATCCGGCTCCGCACTCGTAGCCCCTGGCCGCCATCCCCCCCCGCACCCTCTCCAAGTCATCCTCCAACCCCCCCAGGCAGCAGCCGGCCGACATCAGCCACAGCAGTCCCACCCACCACGGGCCCATCCCCGAAAACAAATCAACGAACCGAAAGCAGAAATCTAAAAACAGTCGAAAATAAATCCCCCCGCCTCCCCCCCTTACCCTCCCTCCAGACGGGGCCCCGGCCAAACCCCGTCCCCGACCACCCCGGCCCAGATCCCGGACGCCCTGGTCAAGCTCCGGTCAGCGGCGTCAGTGGCAGCCGTTGACCAGGTCAGCGCGGCTGGCTCAGCGGGAAGGGCGAGCGCAGCGGCCGAGGGTGAAGGGGGCGGTCACGCGACTCGGCCGGCTGACAACGCGGGGTGCCCATCAGCCCGCAGCACGTCTCACATGCACTGCCGTGTACTTTGAAGTATGTTAGGCAATGCACTGTTAACTACTGTACAGTTGAGAGACGGGTGGTTTGGCAGGCACGTTGGAGGCATCTTGGGGGATCCGTTTCTGTGGCTGGTGGGAAGCTGACCCCCCGGGACAGTGCGTTGGCCGAGGAAGTTCGGCGGAATCCGGGAGGGGCGTTTGCGTAATGCCGGCGCTGGTGGCGAGACCGGTGGCATCATGGCGCGGAAGTGAGCGCAGGACAGGCAGGGAGCTGATGGCCGGTGGCTGCCTCCTCGCCCCGCTCAGATGATAACGACGATGCCGCGTTTGAATCACGGTGGCTTGGTGATCATTGCCTCGAAATTTCGAACGTCAAGGTGAGGTGGCAACTCGTGACGTGTTTCTTTTTGTTGTTTTCTTGGGCGCCGGGGGGGGAAGACTTGTTACAGACAGAAAGAAACAGGTCACAGAAAGGGCACTCCCTCCTGAGCAAGTGTATGCGAGATTCTTTTCCATGCTGTTAGAAGACGGTGCATAGCCTCCGACGCCAATTGATGAGCACGCAACGCGGGCAACACGAAAGGCAAGAAAACATGTGATCGGGGCCGCATGCCTTGCGCACGCTTTGTGGGGACCCGACACCGTTTCTTACTCGGCAGCACGCTGGGCAAAGCCCCGCCCCTTACTGGGCGCCTTCGACCCATGCACAAAAGCAACAAATAAATGTGTAACAAAAACGACAAATGTGTAACAAAAAGGACAAATGTGTAACAAAAACTCGTCCTCCGACCCGTCAGGAAGCCCTTTAAACAGGGAGTTCAACACCCCAAGCATAGAGGGCTCTGGAAGGCAAGTTGCCTCGCTGAGGACTCACAGTTGGCTCACGAATGACTCACTATCAACTAACCGTTCACTCGCTGTTGACTAACTGTTGACTGACGATTGACTCGTTGCCGATCAGACCCATCGACACCCATCCAACTCCCTCAACAAATACACACCTGTTCTCCCATCTGCTCCAACCCACACCCCAGAAAAGAAATCGCCCTAAAACATTGCAATCGGCAGTATAAGCCACACAAGGCAGGAAAAACGTTCTTCAACCCCACCCCTCCACAATTCCATCCAAAAAATATCGAAGTCGACAAATTGGCAGATCAGCAATTCGGCAAATCGCCCGATCGGCAAATTGGCAAATCGGTTAACAGGCAATTAGGCAATAGGCAAATCGGCAGATCACCCCCACAGAGGAATGCAGGACGTGCCCGCTAGGACACACACTCCATCTCCTCGATCACGCTCTTCAGCTCCTTCAGCAAGCTCCCCTCCAAAAACACCGCAAAGGGAAAATCCACCGACAGGAACACCAGCGCACCGTTCACCACTGCCACGATGCGCCGGTCCCCGCCCTCCACCTCGTAGGTCCATGCAGCCGATCCTGAGCTGCCATTGTAGATCTGGCAGTCATGTGCCACGAAGCCGCCCTGGTCCAGGGGTGACTGTGGCAGGCTGGCCTGGCAGAAGTCGAACCACATCTCACCAAAGGGCTTGTCGCCAGGGTAGCCTGCGCTGTTGAACTCCACGGTGCCTGTGGCATCGCTGCCAAAGTCCATGAACCTGGGCGGCACAAAATTCTTGGCACTGTTTCTGGGACAGAGCGGCACGGCGAAGCACTGTGAACTTCATGCTGTAAAATGCCGATCAAGCACAAAATAGTGCCTATTCTGTGAACTCATGTTGTTCTTAACAGGAAGGACCCCTTTGCAACAGAGTCCTCATAGAGTACTGAAGCACTGAGCCTTCTGGGACAGGTTTTCTCCAAATGAATGAGTCACTGCCCCCCAACGCTTCGAAAGCCAAGGGAAGGAGATGCATGCCTGAAAATCATCAGTTTAAACGGCGTTGCAAATTTCGAGCACTTTATGAAGTTCTACGAATGAGGAGGCTGGAGGCTGTGCAAGGAGCATGTGATGGCATAATTGAGGAGGCGAAATCCCGCAACACTGCCCTTTCCGGTAGGATAGGAAAGCAACAGACCTCAGAAACTCTGACCAAGAATGTACAGCAAATGCGATGCAGTGTTTTGTTGGTATATGGAGAGGGGACATGTCCTGCAGCGGGCACCTCCTCTTGATCAATAAATGCCTTTCATCTTAAACAGAGCCAGCAAAATGAGGCGAAAAGATGCACATATAGAAATGCTCCCTATTCCATACTAGATGCGATTCGGCGCAACACAAGGCAAGCACAAGGCATATATAAAGCAAATGCGTAAGGTCAACAGCGGTCAACACAAAGGTCCAACAGTGGTCAACAGTGGTCAACTCACCCTAACTCTTCTCCCGGAGTGCCAGACACGTGCACGATGGCCGCATCTTTGGTGACGTCTCCAAAGAGAGTCCACCTAACAGAGGAGTACACCTGCAGTGCCAGCAGTGATCACTCTTTTTGGTTACCCTTCACTATCACTCTGTGCTCTTCACTCTTCCGTCACTCTTCTTTTATTGGACTGAACAGACCCCAGGGTCGGTCACGGATGGTCCAGGATACAAAAATGGAAGACGACAGCGAATTTCAATGGAAAACTGCTTCTCAAAAGTAGCAGTTCCACATCGCTGGGAAGCCCCTTGGCTCTTCCTTGCCAGTCACGTTAGTTTCTAAGACTCAAAAGCAAAATTCGAATACTTGAAATTCAAATATGATAGTTTAGTTCTGCATCTGGCTGTCTTGGACATTGTATGACATTACATCCGGCTCACCAACGTTTACGGTGTCAGACGCAAATATAACTAACGATAAATGGCAAATGAACGGATAAACGAACAAAAATGAGTGAGCAAGCAAGTATGTAAACAAAAAATGACTTATTCCGTTCTTTGCTGGAGAAACTAATTTCCACATGTTCGGGATCAGGTACACAACACTGGGTCCATTCGGGCAGCGGGTTCCAGTTTGTTGACCTACACTGTTGTCTAGGACCTATTTCGTGAGCATATTCTGTGCGTTCAGGACCTATGTTGTTGGTTTAGGACCTATTTTGTGGGCCCAGCTTGAGAACCTGTTCAGCAGATCAGCTGCCGCAAAATGGAGGCCCAACACTGCCTGGTGTTGATGCTGTATACAGGCCGATTGACAACAACAACAAGAACAACAACATTTGTTAAACTCAACAACATAATGCAATATGTTGGAACCTTGCCTATCCCGTGAGCCAGCAAAAGAACACACTTCCTATGCTATGACGGAGCCAGCACCTGAAACCTCAAATGTGAAAGGGTGTTTCAGGTTCTAAATAACAAACAAAGGACAAACACCCTGCAAGTACAAGTGTCTCGACAACAGGCAGCTGGACTTCACAACATTTCCACACCAACTTTCCCACCTGCAGTGCCTGGTACCTCCCCAGCGGCTGCGCCATCTCTTGGCCATTCCTCCCTGGGTTGAAATTCACACCTGCAGAGAACCTTCCTGTATCTGGGTCCCACACACAGTGGCCTGCCGTAAGGTAGTGGCATTTCCCCACCAGCGCACCGGAGCAGAACGAACCCACCTGAACCACAGCAGCAACAACAAATGCATGCATTCTCACATGCAGCATGGCAGAGCACGGCAGAGATGGTAGAGTTTGTTGGCACTCGCAAAAACTGTGGCTTTCCACAGTTGTTGCTTTTGCATTGTTGCCAGTTTCACATTGTTTTTGCTTTGTGTTGCTTTGATTTCAAAATGGCACAAACATTCAACAGACAAGACACCGGCCGATCCTGTCAAAAGATATTTGGGCCTGGACAGGAGTGGGCACCAGGACTATCGAATGTGATAGAACATTCTGGGAACTGAAAGTTCTCTGGGTGCATGGAATGGATGATGATTCACTGCAACAAGACAAAAAGGGCATAACACTGTGACGACACTCGGACGGTACCTTCCCAAGCAAGAGCTCCCTGAGCCATGGGAACAGTCCTCAACACGCTCCTTTGCAAAGAAGTGCTGCGCTGCAATTTCTCTGCACCATCAAGCTCGAAAACAACCAAATGTAGGGGAAGATATGCACCCAGGGGCCCCTTTGGCACACCTGCTTAGGAGGGGGTGCCCTTTGCAAGACCAATTTCTCGTTTCCTTTCAAAATATCTCACCCAGGGCCACCCCAAATTTGCCCCCCCCCCCCTTCTTCCCCCCTCTTGCCTTCAACGTTGCTTGTGCTGTGTACTCATCATCTCGCACAGAAGACTGTACAACATTTTTCCATAGCATGGGCAAGAGACTCACACACACTTGCACCTGCAGCACCTGTAGCGCTGCACAGCGCAACACGGCCCGCGGTATACTTGCTTAAGAGGGGGCGCTCATTTTAGGACCTGTGTTTCGGGGATTCTAACAAAACTTGACAAACACTTGCTCCACGAGCCTCCAGTAGCCCTACCTGGCCAATCATCTTGAATGGCTCGTCGGCGGACACCTCGACCGGCACCCGCACCCTTCCCCCCGACGTTGACGGCAGCCCCGGCTCCTCCCCAAACCTCGGGTCCGGCGACTGTGCCAAAACTCGCCCAAATCGGTCAACGCCCACCGTTGACCTGTCAACACCATCTCCCTCCACCAGCCCGCGGGCCAGTTTTCTGCCCGTTTTCCCCCAAAACCCTAATTCCGTCTCGTTCTTGAGCCTCATGCACACCGTGCCGTCGGCCAGGACCGTCATGGCCTCCAAATCTTCGGGCTCGCCCCAGCCCCGTTCGATCCAAACCTCCCTTCCCCTTGCGCCCAACGTCCCCCCGGCCCCAATTTTCGCCACCCTCAGTCTCTCGGCAACCTCGTCGAGGGTCCAATCGCCGGGCTCCGCCCTGCCCGGCCGCTCGCAGTCGTAGCCCCTTCGAATCATGCCCTCCCGCACGCGATCCAGATCCGCATCGACGGCGCCTCGACAAAAATTGGACGATGCCGTCAAAGCCAGGAGGCCCAGGAGGAGCATGGCCGCGGCCGTGCTCATCGCGGCCCCTGGGAGGAAGCCGGGTGGCCCCTGTCAAGGGGAATGGGAAGATTTGGAGCGGAGATGCGCGGTCAAGTCGAAGTCCACAAGAAGTCAACGCAGGGTCAACACCAGGCGAGGCCTTTCGCGACGGGGCTTCGCGAACGGCCCCCGCGGGGAGGGCGGTAGGGCGGGGCGGTGTGGCGCGCTGGAGCGCACCTGCCGTGGAGGTAAAGCCGTCTCGATGGGATGCACATCCGTTTGAAGGGGGGCATCCATTCTCCAGAATAAATGATAGCAAATGATCATCATCGTGATCATGGGGGGACGCTGTCATCATCAAAATCCATGGATTGCATTTGTCACAAAATGACAAAACACAGCCTGTGCACCTGGTAGGCGATGATGGGCAGTGACAACCAAGCAGATAGTGTGTTCGGAATCAATTATTCATGGTCCCATGTTCCCAACACCTTTTGTCCCATGAAATGCAGTGAGCTGGCATGAGTAATACAATCCCCATGGATCATGTTCAGTGTATGTAGCGAAGAAAAATCAATCCCAATCCTCAATCCCCATGTCCCACGCGAGCCCACTGGGGACGTGTTGTGTTAGCCATGACGTAGGACACACACACAACATGCGTGGTGAATGTACAAGGTGGATGCGGTGATAGTAAATGGCAGAACATGACCAGGTGTAGAATCCCCCAGGATAACGGCGACCAAATGGGACAGATGGCGGAGCTTCGGTCAATGTATTACAATGGTGGTGGGCCCCCTAGTCCAGACAAGGTCGAGTGCACCGGCGAACTGAGACAAATGGCCTATGGGGTGCCCACTTTTATAGGTGGCGCGCTCCCCCTCTCATCATGACACCCTCGGCCTCCTGTAATGTTCAATACACTCCTGTCATGCCACCCTCGGCCTCCTGTAAGGTCACCTCGGCCCTTGGAGAGCTATTCACATGGTCCCTTGTTGTTGGCGCGGTCCCCCCTTGGCCGCGTCCACGTACCCTGGCTAGAGGTGGCCACTCAAGATGCCATCCGGTCCGTTAAATCCGGTTCGTTAATTTTTATCAGCTGTCCGTTAAATTCCGTTATAGAAAAAGGGAGAAAAATTCAGAAAAAACGAAAAAAATCAAAAAAAAATTAAAAAAAAACCAAAAAATCACAACAACTGCGGCTAGTTGAAAATCTAGTATGCATAGGTTAAAATAAAATACAAACATACTCTCTAATAGCGAATTCCATAAACTATAAGTATGACTAAAACCCAAAAATCCCTAAAAAATCAAAAAATCCGTTAATTTTTGGCTAATTTTTGTCTTTTTCCGTTATTTTCCGTTAATTAACGGAAAACTAACGGAAATTAACCTCTGTCCGCTATTAACGGATCCGGGTGGCCACCTCTAACCCTGGCCCGCGCTCTTGGGCCTCTCCTGTGGAAGCGTGGTTGTCCTCGGCCGGACGGTGATACGGTTACTTTTGTAGATGAGTTAGATGTATTTGATTACCCTAAATGGGTCTGAGTTGGGTAAACTAGCCTTGTGGTGGTTACAAAGGACATGGGACAATGAACAGAGCAATTAAAGACAATCTTGTATAATATACAAATGTAGTAACCGCCCGGGGATTCCGACTCCCCGTTTCATCCGACCTGTGCGCCCGCGGGAGCAACGAAGCTCCCTGCATCATTGGTTTCGGAGCGCGGAGCGTTCGAGCGGCTAGAACACACCGGCCGACGGCCGGGATGGCGAGTGGGGATCCTCGCCCGGAGTCTGGGAATCCGGGGGGCGAATCGGCCGGGCAGTTGGTGCCCTATCGAGGCGGGCCGACCCCCATGGAGCTGAATGGAAACGGTGGAGGAGTGACGGCTTTGCAGCACGGCGAGGAAGACGATCGACCGGAGAAGCTATTGCTGCGCCAAGTGGGGGCTGTGGCCGCGGCTGCTGTGAGGAGAGCGACCCTTTTTGCGGTCGCAGAATGGAGCCATTCGGCCGGACAGCAGCAGAATGCCGCTCTCCGTGGCATGGGGGAAACGCTCGGCCAGCAGCTCGAGGCTGCCGCGAATCAATCGGCCGCGCAGCAGCTGCAGCAAGGCCACGAGCTGCGCGCCTTGCAGGAAGGTGTGCATGGCAGAATGGCCACGCAAGAAGGGGCCATTTCGGTGATCGGCGTCGGGCTGGAAGGTGTGAGGCAAAGAGCTGAAATGCAAGCGAATGAGCTCGGGAGATTGCAAGCTGCTATTCGAGGAGATTGGCTTCGAGCGGAAGAGTGGATCGGCACGGAGATGGACCGTAGAATGGAGCAGATGGGGAAGAGGCTCGCGGAAACGGAGAAGCATTTTATGGCAACCAACCAGAAGTTGGCGGATGAGGTGCAGCTGGCTGGCGCGATCGACGGCGGACGGTTTGCAAGGACACATGAGGATGTTTCAGAGGTACGCGAACGGCTGGTGGCATTGGAATCGGAGAAAGGAGGCCACGATGCGCGGTTGGAGGCGCTGGCCAATGCTACGGGAAAGGCCTCCGAGGAGGCTTCGATTGCCAATGAGAGCTTGCGCCAAGCGGCGCGAGTGCTGGGCGACCTCGGCGCCGCCGTTCAAGCGCAGCAAAACGCGCAGGAATCGGTTTCCGAACGAGTGGAAAGCATGGCTGCGAACCATGCTCGGGAAACGGCCTCCATGGCCGGCGAGCTCGGCGGCATCAAGCGCGCCATCGAGGCGCTGGACCGCAGGATGTCCGAGGCAACGTCCAGCCTCGTCGTTCGGCCGGCTATGCCGCCCTCGACCGTTCGGAGTCGGTCGCCGTTGCCGGTGGCCTCGGGCGCGGAGGATGCAGGTGCCGCGGAGGGAGATGCCGCCCCCGTGGGGCCTGTTCGCGAAAAGGTTACGCTTTACGAGGGGTTACGCACCCCTGGCGTAACGGGGAGCTGCGAGACGGCACAAGGTGTGAGTTTTGGAGTTCCTACGCTGCCCGTCGGTGCTGTGTCGTGGAGTGAGAATCCTGTGAACTGGAAGGTGAATCAGAATGTGGACTGGGATGCATTTCTGAACAAGCAAATTCCCAGTAGCGTGTACTTAGGGACAATGGTGCAAACTATCCCAAGTACTACGGTGCAAACCACTATGGCACCGCCGGAGAACTTGGAAATTGCGAGCGGCATTGCAGCACCATTGTTGCCTCCTGGTATCAGTCAGACAGCAGGCACTTCAGTACAGCCTGGTCAATCTTCCCGTGGTCAATCAGCTGGTCCGAGTGGAGTACCGTCACGAGTGAGTGGAGCTGGAGCATTTGGAGCTGGATTCCCTACACAGTCGGCTCGCCAACCTCCTTTCCGGGGGTTAGGCGTGCCAGAGGATCCCTACAGCGGGCTGGGATCATATGGATCCCTGGGTGGTGGAGCTGGAGGATCAGGTGGTCACGAACCACCAAGGAGACCACCCAGAAGGTCACCCTCAGGAGGCCCGCCTGGTGGCCCGCCTGGTGGCCCGCCTGGAGATGGCAGTGATGGCGGAGAGGACGATTCGATGGGGGAGAGAGAGTCATCACATGGAGGTGGGTTGCCGGATGTTGGACACAGAGCTGCCGCTATCCCTGTCGACACTGGATTCGGGAGATTGAGGATTCCGATGCCAGAGAGATTTTCTGGCCACCATCAGGATGTGAGCTGCACAGAATGGGTGTTGGCCATGTGCAGATGGCTGCGTGGCAATGCAGTGGACGAGTCACGCTGGCTGTCAGTGATGTCAGCAAACTTGTCTGGAGCTGCCATATCGTGGATGAACCTGGTAGAGTTGCAGGTCTATCAGGGGACACGAGCGCCATTTGCTGATTGGCGCGAGTTTACTGAGGCGCTGCGTGGCACATTTGAGTCAGCCACGCTGGGAGAGCAGGCTAGGCGCAGACTCCACACTCTGCGTCAGTACAAGTCTGTAGAGGCTTACGTCAGGGAGTTCCAGAAATGGAGCTTCAGATTACCAGACATGTCCAGAGCTGAGCGTTACTATCAGTTCATCGAGGGCCTCAAGGAGCCCATGAGATCTACAGTGGCGTCTTGGGTGCCTGAGGACCCTGATCAGGCCATCGCAACAGCTTTGCGTCTTTCTAGCCTTCAGCGTGGGGGCTGGGAGCAGTCTCAGGGGCAGAGCCAGGGCAGAGGTCAGGGCCGACAGTCTGGTGGACGTGGACGAGGCAGAGGACGTGGCCAGCAGCAGCAGCAGCATCAGGTTCAGGCAGTCAGTCAGTCTCAGCAGCAGCAGCAGCATCAGTCTCAGTCTCAGTCAGATTCAGTTGCAGCAGTTCAGCAGGGTGGCAGAGGCAGAGGCAGGGGTCGTGGACAGCAGGGTAGTGATGGCGGCCGTGGTGATGGCGGTCGTGGGCGTGGTGTGTGTCGGCTCTGCAAGAGTCCGGGGCACTACGTCAGTGTTTGCCCGCGGCTGGAGGAGGCTGCTAAGCGGTTAAACTAGCCGCGGGGCAGCATGCACCGCCCACGCTACCCCGGAGAGAGCAGGGTGATCCGGCCAGGAGAGCAAGTCGCCGGACGCTGGAGATTTCTGGGCGGAAGTTTGTGAAGGTGAGCCATCCTCGGTGGAATTCTGTGTTGGTGGGGCCACATGTTGCTGTTGTGGCCTCAGAGGAGTCTCATCTGTCTGGGCGCACTGGCCCAACTGCAGTAGATGGTCAGAGTGTTGTTTCTAGTGGTGACCATGATGTAGATGCCGGAAAGAAAAATGATGTGAGCACTGACTTTTTCCCCGCAGTCAGTGATAGCTGTGTGGCTGGGGTCACAGCTAAGGTTGATAGTTCTGAGCAACCTGTTCTTACTGGCAGCCAGAATTTCTGTGATGAGAGGCTGACCAGTTCTGATGCACCCAAAGCTGGTGGTGGTGATGTAGAGGGAGAAATGGTGGGATTGCGCACCCCACTTGTCTGTCCTCTAGCCAGTGTTGGGTTCATGGGATATGAACTTTTAGGCAGTATAAACCGGCATGCAGTTGTGGCTTATGTCGATAGTGGGA